TGGGGCCAACAAGGATGAACCAGCAATGAGGGACGGGTCAACACCACTACATTGTGCAGCAGTGTTTGGCCATGTTGACATAGTCCACTTTCTGGTTGAAGTCGGGGCCAACAAGGATCAGCCATCAACAGAAGCTGGTTCAACACCATTGCATTTGGCAGCCCAAGAAGGCCATCTGGACATCGTCCGCTTTCTTGTTGAAGCTGGGGCCAACAATCAGCCAGTAATGGATAACGGGACAATGCCACTCCATGAAGCAGCTGAAAGAGGTCATCTTGACATCGTCAGCTTTTTGATTGAAGCTGGGGCCAACAAGGATGAACCAGCAACGAGGGACGGGTCAACACCACTACATTGTGCAGCAATGTTTGGCCATGTTGACATAGTCCGCTTTCTGGTTGAAGTCGGGGCCAACCAGGATCAGCCAGCAAAAGATGGGTCAACACCACTACATTGTGCAGCAGTGTTTGGCCATGTTGACATAGTCCACTTTCTGGTTGAAGTCGGGGCCAACAAGGATCAGCCATCAACAGAAGATGGTTCAACACCATTACATTTGGCAGCCCAAGAAGGCCATGTGGACATCGTCCGCTTTCTTGTTGAAGCTGGGGCCAACAATCAGCCAGCAATGGATGACGGGACAACACCACTCCATGATGCAGCTGAAAGAGGTCATCTTGACATCGTCCGCTTTTTGATTGAAGCTGGGGCCAACAAGGATGAGCCAGCAACGAGGGACGGGTCAACACCATTGCACCTCGCCACGCGAGAGGGGCACCTTGGTGTTGTTCGATTGCTGGTTGAATCTGGTGCAGATATTGAGAGAACCAGCGAAAGTGGAGCAACTGCCTTAGATGTGGCATCTGCACGCGGCCATGGGCAACTTGTTGGCTTCCTGGCTTCATTGGCCAAAGAGCCTCCCAAGACGATTCGTAGAGACACGCAGTGACCAGATCCAAGGACACGGCTGAAAGAGGTGAACTGCAGCATGTTTAGATCGCACCGCAGGGGCTGGTGTAGATGGTCATACTATGTCATACTGTCAAAATGGGTTTAGTGTTTGTACTGAAACAACACATCAAATTAACGGTTAAGTTACCCCAATTCCATCAGATTCTCATCATTCTTCATCATGTCTCATCATTTGTTAAATCATCGTTGTTGCTAATCAGTTTTTTTTTTTTTTTTACCCGGATTCTTCTTTGGGGCTGACAAAAAAGGGTGTTTTTGGACCGCCAAAGATTTCAAACATTTCTCGTACCCTCTGGTAATCACAAATGGCTGGGAAACCCTACAGATTTCATGGGCATCTAACAATGTGGGACATCATCGAACTACAGAACTACATGTTTTTTTTTCCAGCGAGCCATATTTGACCCATATTGGGTACCCCAAAATCTCATAGTCATCATAGTCCAATGGCCATAGTCATGGCAGGCCGAATTCCTGGAGACTGGGTGGGATCCCAGGTACATGATGCGAGACATGCCAGACGGCTCCAGACAGCCGAGCATCATCTACAATGGCTTCTTAGGCAGGGTAGTAGTGGAACATAGTGGAACATAGTGGAACCAGGTAGCATCGTTTTTTGTGGTCTAAATTACTATAGATCCACTTGGCTGTCTGATAAAAGTTGAGGCTTCTGGTTACCTGGTTGGGTTTCTGAGATTCGAGCAATCTTTGAACCTGTCGAGGTTCTCCAAGTCTTCAAGACCCCCACCGCAGCAATGGCAGGAGTTATATAGAACTCTTGTTGAGCAAAGCAAACCTTATTTTGATCGCGGATCCAAATATATCAAAGTGGTAGTCCTTCAGATGAAATGCCGTATAACTGCATACCACTATTCTACAAAGCGCAACTCATTGCAGAACATTACAGGAAATCCGAATAGGCTTCATTCTCTACCGTGCCTCATGTCTTGGATGATCATTTCCAAAAATTCTGGGTCTGATAGATCAGCTGGTAAGGACAGGGTGGTTATGGTAATTAGTAGTCATTGTTGGCTTTACTTGTGATCCCATTCCCCTAATCTTGGACATTCCAAATATCTATGGTCCCAGGCATATGTGGTTTCCCCATGGTTTCCCCATCACCTACATCCACTGGCTGCTTTTCGGGGGATGGGATTGATCCGCAGGCGATGACTACCAGCCCTTGACTCTGGATCTTGCCATGCAGCACTGGCTCCGCGCTGGCGGAGTGCGCCGCGTATGCTCAGGGCATTTGACACTTGTCTTGTGCTAAACCACTGGCGAAGTTTCGGGTTGCTGATCCACTGGCGAACTATCTATCGCAGATCATCCCAGCAACCCCCAGCAAGCCATCCAGCAACCCGACACGTGAAATGCACGCACGCACCAGTTGTTGGTTTCAGGGAATCCAATCCCCATCACATTCAGCCCCCAGAGGCACCATAGTTTCATGAGGGATTTTCAGATTGGGACCACAGGATATCGCCTTTGTAGACATGGGCACTGGGACCATCATAAAAATACGCACATTTGGAAAATCATTTGTCACTTGCCAGCCTTGCCACGTGTGATGACCAGAGGGTCATGACCAAGAAACAAACCTGTTTTTTTTTCTCAGTATTCCTTTTTGCTTTTCCAGATACTGCAGAAGTCACTGCTTGGAAGCGTGCAAGTTCTCAGTATTCAAAGATATTCAAAGTGAATATTTGACCTCTGGAAGTGTTTTTTTTTTGATTCAACAGAGATGAAGGGAGGACAGGAACGGGGATCTCCCAAGGCCTCACGGCGATTCACCTCTGATTCTTCGATTCGAGGAGATCTCGAGATCCGGATCCATTCGGTCAAGGGTTTTGGAGAGGTGTCGATGGTACCTATGGTACCAGAGCATGGAAAATCACCATGCTTTTAATGGGAAAATCAACTATTTCTATGGGTCATTTTCAATAGCAAACTGTTAGTTTACCAGAGGGTATCTACTGCAGTATTTATTGTCTGGTTTTACCTGCACAAGAGAAGCTTTCGGGAAGAAACCCATCGTTCTCAACACTGATTTGTTAGTAACTGTTAGTGGTTGACAACAGGGGTCCATCCCATCTCCATCCCACTTACGGAGGAGGTGGTTGCCATTACTGCTGACATCTCCTATGCAGATGTAGTCCCTTGACCGGAGGTCGCAGGGCGGGTTTTTGGCCTGGCTTGTACACATCTCTGGATGCGTATCAAGCTTCCAATCTTTTTTGGATTACCTTGAGTCATGGTTCCCCACCGGAAGTGCCTCCCAACTGACACGTCATATCATATATATAGCCCCAACAATAGATTAAGACAAGTGGGAAACCTGGAAATATCACCTCCCGGAAAGTTTTTAAAAATCTTTTTGGCCCTTACTATACAATTCACCAGCATTTGTTTGACCACGCCAAAGTAAACATATCAGCAGTACATTTTGTTTTGGGCATCTCTGCCAAAAAACAGGGCAGGAAAACCCAACCTTAAGGATGATGATGATGATGATGATGATGATCTGATGATCTGATGATCTGATGATCTGATGATCTGATGATCTGATGATCTGATGATCTGATGATCTGATGATCTGATGATCTGATGATCTGATGATCTGATGATCTGATGATCTGATGATCTGATGATCTGATGATCTGATGATCTGATGATCTGATGATGATGATGATCATCATCATCATCATAATTATCGATATTATGAAGGTCTTGTTATCATCTTTCAGTCGTATCATCATTTCTATCGTCAAATCACAGTATGAATGCCATGGTTTTCAGCCAAGGTGAGCTGGCCGGGAGAGGTGACCGAGGGAAGCCAGGTCTGCGAGGTGCTCCTGGAGCCACAGGACGGCCGTGGAATCCAACATAGCCTTTGGAAACATATAGACATAGCTATAGAAACATATAGAAACCATGGTCCATTTGCAAAAAAAACATGATTTACCTCATCAAAACACCTTTTTTTTCGTTCGCAAGCCTTTTTTCTTCTCATTTTGGGAGGGGGACTCTTCCATCGGGCAGGAGACGTTGGTCCATGGCTGCTTGACCACTGGGCACAGCTACGAAGCAAAACTTTCTGACCCCGAGATCGGGCAGTTGGTGGATGGTTGGCGATGCTCGGCGATGGGGTGAGAAGCTTCGACCCAATGGGTTTTTATTTGGGAAATTGGCAATCTGAATGGGAGATATTTGGGAAATACTGGGAAAATGATATTGATCTCTTGGGATTGGGGATACACAATGTTCAGACTTATTTTTTTGAACCGTTTCTGGGTCGTTTCTGGGGTTGGCTGATTTTACCGATGCGTGATGGATCCTAAATTTGAGATGACGAAGAGGTGGGGTACTTCCAGCCGCTCCGTCCACCACTACATCCGTTTGAGCGATGCTGTTTCCAGGGTGCCTTCAAGCAACCAGGAAAGTTGATTCTTTGCAAGGGGAACGACGGTAGTTCAGTGGGTTTTTAGGACTTCTATAGGGAACAAGCTTGGTTCCCAGGTTCTAAAAGGACCCTGACACCCTAGGTTTCACATCAAAATAGTCTGCAAGTGAGTGTTCACCCCCAATTCAAACGGAAAAACCAGGATAAACCACCTCCATCCACCTCCCCAATGGAAAAACCCATGGTCAACCATAGATTTTGACTCCCGATTTGTACGAAAAAACGCATGGTCCAGGTGTGAAGGGTCGCCTGGCTGACGGCCGATTGGTCCTCAGCCGCAACGAAGGTTGGGACTTCGAGGGTTCCTTCGCGCCGGCGGGAAAAAAAGAGGCTGCAGCCACCGGTCATCCGGGTTCCCCAAGAACCGGGAGAAACATGGGGAAAAACTGAGCCAACCAGCAAACATCATCAAACATATGGATTTCATGAGTCTAGTGGGTCTCTTGAGTCACCTTTTGCTCAGCTTTTTGCTCATTGGCCATGAGGAATGAGGAGCCCAGGTGGAGAACCCATTGGAAATGGCCGATGACCTGATGCCCATAAAATGCTCCTAGATCTCCGGCTCAAAACCGCGGCTTCGACTTGTTGCTCTTCTCAGCTATTGAGGTGCACCGATGCTGGATGATGTGGGAAAGGGGGTATATATATATACCCGGATTGGGGTACCAGACTACCAGACCCAGATGGTGAAACTTAGCATTAAAATCTTGACTTTTCACCACGGCATCGTGAAAACACAACCTGATTTTCATGGATCTACGACGCCAATTCCAGCCAGCGACTTGAAAGTCGGTGGGTCTCTGTCACCTTGAAAGTGTGTCTACAACTTCATAGACATACAGAAGTGATACAGAAGTGAAATACTGAAATTTGACATACTGGAAATCTATATATATATATAGAATGGAAAGGGGGAATATTACACACCATCTTGGCTTTGTAAATCCAATTTCCACTGTGTAATATTCCCCGCCAAGAAGCCAATGATCCCAGCACCGGTGTATCCCGTTGAGGCAATGGCTGGCCAGATGTTTGTGGTCAAACGCGATGGCCGTTCGCAGGATGAAATCTCGATTTTTTAGGCATCACCTGAGATGAGCCAAACGTTCACATGATGGATGTTGATTGTTTCCTAGTTTCTAAAGATTGTGTCTTAGTTTCTAAAGATTGTGCTACCATTTATGGGAGATGTTTCACCAAGATGAGTTTTCTTTTACAAGTAGTGATGAATCAATGAATCATAGGAGGTGAAAGTTTGATGCGCCACTGAAAATCCAGGAGGTGAAGTTTGACAACATCACGAAGCGTATTCGAACCCTGTGCGATGGCTTGGATCCTCGCTTCATTGACCCCGTGCCCGTGACACAGAAAGTGGTGGAAGGCGCGGCAGTTTTTTGGCGCTGGGCGGCCTCAGGTGGCCGCGGGCTTTGGTGAAGAACTTGCCCACACCATTCGTCTTTGAGCCAGCTGGACATTCAATTGACAAGAACTATTTTTGCAATATGAATATACCATGGAAGTGTTATAATTAATGTGTTAGTTTAAGTTGTATATATATATATATATTATATTCTCATATTTTTTCTGGTATGTAATTGGTGTAATAATGAGTAATTAACAAAAATAAATAAGTAAACAAATAAATAAACACATACACACACATATATATGTAATATATATATATATATGACTGTAACACCACCTAGCTATCTCTTGAGTTCCCAACAAACTCATGTGGTAAACTGAATGCCGTAAACCTACCATGACTGGGCATGGTTTTTCAAAACCAGCCATGAAAATGGTGATGACTTGGGGATACGATGAAATTCTGTGAATCCCACATGATTTCTTGGTTTCCCCCAGCAACTGGAACCTGAAGATCCCCTTCCCAGCCTGGAGGGCAGCTGAACGGCAGGCTTCTACAACGGCATCAGCACGGCGCAGATCGATACCTTGGCGGCCGAGACCTGCGCCTACATGTCGCAGAAGCACCCGGACTTCTCGACCCTGGCGGCACGCATTGCGGTGTCCAACCTGCACAAGTGCCTGGGATGAAATGGGGGGGATGCGATGGGGATGATGGTTGAACTGGTGCGTTTACCCTCTGGTAAACTAACATAGCTATTGAAAATGCTAGAAATAGTGGATTTACCCATTAAAGATAGTGATTTTCCATTGCTATGTTAGTTTACCAGAGAGTAAGTGTTTTTATTGCCTTTCAAGGAGTTCTGGAGTGGCCATGACTATTGTGGATTTGATCCGCGGAAACTTGCCCGAAAATATGGGAGTTGAACCAATGGAAGATGGGAAAGATCAACCTGTACCAACCAGTTGCCATTCGAAAATCCCTGAAAAACATATGGATGACTAAAGATGCACACGGTGCCGATGAAAGATCTATCCTTAGGGCAGCTGCAGCTGTGACAACATATCCCCTGGCAACTGTGGCCGGCTTCCACGGCCTTGCCCTTCGCTTGGTCCAACGGTTCCAATGATTCGAATGATTCCAATGTCCGGTCGCCTGGTGTTTGAAAAACGACGTGTTTTGATGAAGCCTATCCAGCTGTGAGACAGCTAGGTGGACAACGAAGTCGGAAGGCACCAGCACCTGTCCAGTTTGGAAAGTCGACCCATCCTAGCCCTTACCCCATGCGGACACGTTGTGTGCCAGCAGTGCCAGGGATCTCGCCAATTTCGTCAGTGCCCAATGTACTGCGGGGATGTCACCGGAGCGATGATGATGAAGTTGAAGTCTAGTGCCCAAGCACGGGATTGCTACACACACACACACACGCCTATTCAGGCTCCAGAGTCAAGATCTTGATAAGATGCGGAAAGCCGCATTGAAGCTGTCAACAGACGGTTCATCGCAGCATGGGCCCAAGTCTGCGCCTGGGAAAGAATATCACCAACATGCTGTACTGGGTACAGTCGATTGGCATCACCAATCACTCTTCAGCCAATTAAGTTGCCACTCTTCTGGCATGCGGTCATTCTATGATGGCCAAGCACCATCTGCAGATTGCGAGCTTTTTTTGATGCATCAGCAAGAAATTTCACTCGCAATGGGAATTGCTCTGGCAAAGCATGTTCTCTGTTGATATAGAGGATATCAAATTGGTTCACTTGGACTTCCCCTCTCACCCATCTCATTGTGCCATCGACTTCGACCTTTGAACCTCTTTTCGATTTTGTTACTTCCACTTTGTGTTGTGCACATGTTCTATTTTTTTAAAAATGCAGCATGGCATTGAATGCGTGAAACTTCGAACGCGAAGCATTGGCCTTTCGAACCGGATCACGAACAGTCCCGATCACCGACTTGCATCTCGAAAATTCTTGTCCTTTTGACCCGGATCACGAACATTCCCGTCACCGACTGTCATCTGGACCATTGTATGGAAAGGTGAAACGAACGCATTGGGATGAGGAAGCGATCAGTCTCATATCAGCCACCTCTTGAAAAAGCTTTGATTCTATTGAGAGGAAATTGCTTTAAGTGTGGTGCTTTGTTAGTCCACGGTGTTCTGAGTGTTTGCTGAAGAAGCTGCAGAGGATGTTTTAGTTGAACGATTCTTGTTTCTTTTGCTTGTCTGTGTTATACTACAGGGCACTTTGTTGGGCTCGTTAGAGAGAACCTCTTTTAGATCTTCATGAGGCAATCGACATGGACCAGTTGCATATTTTTCTCGAAGTTCTTTTGAGTTCGTCGGATATGACCCACTCAGGCAGAGTGTGTATGGCTGCCATGGCAAAGTATTCACCTTCTTCTTTAGTTGCATCGGCAGGTGTGCCTAGTTTGGATGTGTGGTCTGCAGAGTTCAGCGAAGCGAAAGCAGGAACTTCTCCAGTGAGCTTGAGCGAGGCGATGTGCATGTGATTCCAAAGAACAATTAAGGGCGTTTTACATTGCCATAATCGCTCATTGGGAACGCCTGCACTGATGGCTAAGTGGCCCGGTCGCAGCCGGTCGTTTCCAACCAATTCAGCGGCAAACAGGAGCAGGTCACCGACAGTTTCTGTAATGGTAGCATCCAGGATCGGCAAATCTACGAAAAACCAATCTTGTGTGCAATCCACTGCGGCTCGCGACAAAGCATCACTGAGACGCAACAAAAAACGGAGCCTATGACACTTGCATGGGTGTTGGGAGGAACTCTTGAAGTCACTACCTGGTCTACGTTTGTACCATTTGCTCGGTTCAGGATATCGTGGTTTGAAGCCTGCAGGAGAGTAGTAACCGTCACTTCCCTCTTGAGCATGTTTTTCCCACGGTACTGTTCGTGCTGGTCTCAGTGCAGCCCAGGCATATTCTGGATAGTCAGGCACGATTGGAATTTCTACAAGCAACCAAGACTGTTCTTTTCTGGTCAGCTGTATCTGGTCTTCTTTCTTTGGGACCAAACCTTCAATTGTATAATGTTGGTTGTCGTGCTGAAAGAGTGGTGTCCCAACATCAACTTTGGCAAGTTTGCTTGCATCTCTCAATGTAAAGGAAGTAGGATGACAGTTCTCTTCGTTCTCATTGACGATTCTGTAATGAACTTCCCTCAGAATGCAACGGTAATCCATGGCATGAGCACGTCTGGCACGAATTGTGTGATGTTGTTTCTTTAGGGTGAGCTGAATGGCATCCTATGAATTGCTGTATTTATGTATGTGTCGCTCGTACAATCGATTCAGCATCTTCCTGGTAAACCTGTCTATTTTAAAATGACAAATGCCATGAAAATAATAGCAAGCTGCACCTGTAGAATAGCATTATTTCAACATCAGCTCTTCGAGCCATCATTTGAGACTTCAGTATCTTCTGGGAATGCACTCTTTGCTTTAAAGCTAGTATACCTATACTTGCTTCATACTTGGCTAAGCTGAAGAGTAATGCTTTGACGAAAGCAAAAAACTAGTCGAGGTACGGTGCGGTACGAACTGACCGTAGCAAAACACCGTCGCACCTGTCAGTTGACCAAATGTCCGCAACCAGAAACCGTCGCACCTTTCAGTCGCCACCACATGACCGTACCAAACACACGTCGCACCTGTGAGCCGCACCAAATGACCGTCGCAAGACACCGTCGCATCTTTCAGTCGCACCACATGACCGTACCAAACAAACGTCGCACCTGTGAGACGCACCAAATGACCGTACCAAAGAAATGGTGCACCTTCGAGTCGCACCAAATGACCGTACCAAAACACCCTCGCACCTTTCGGTCGCACCAAATGTCCGTAACCAGAAACCGTCGCAACTGTGAGTCGCACCACATGACCGTACCAAACAAGCGTCGCACCTTTCAGTCGCACCACATGACCGTACCAAACACACGTCGCACCTGTCAGTCGCACCACATGACCGTACCAAAAGACCGTCGCACCTTTCATTCGCACCACATGACCGTACCAAGCCAAGAGTCGCACCCTTGAGTCGCAGCAAATGATCGTAGCAGACGAAGAGTCGCAGCTTGCAGTCGCACCAGATCACCGTAGCAAAAAAACCGTCGCACCTTTCAGTCGCACCACATGACCGTACCAAAAAACCGGCGCACCTTTCAGTCACACCACATGACCGTACCAAACAAACGTCGCACCTGTGAGACGCACCAAATGACCGTACCAAAGAAATGGTGCACCTTCGAGTCGCACCAAATGACCGTACGAAAACACCGTCGCACCTTTCGGTCGCACCAAATGTCCGTAACCAGAAACCGTCGCAACTGTGAGTCGCACCACATGACCGTACCAAACAAGCGTCGCACCTTTCAGTCGCACCACATGACCGTACCAAACACAAGTCGCACCTGTGAGTGGCACCAAATGACCGTACCAAGACACCATCGCAGCTTTCAGTCGCACCAAATGTCTGAAAAATAAAACTCATCGGTGCAACTCTCTATGATGCAAATCCTTGAAAAAAAGGAGGTTAAAGAAATCAATGCTTTACGAACCGGATCACGAACAGTCCCGATCACCGACTTGCATCTGGAACATTCTTTTCTTTCGAACCGGATCACGAACATTCCCTATCACCAACTTTCATCTGGACCATTGTATTGAAACCTTTTTTTTTCCTCCAATTCCGCGACAAAGTTCACCGAACCTTGCATACACAGTTTGAATGCTGATGCACTGTGCGAGCTTTTTCTCTTGGCGTTCAATGTCTCCCTCAACGCCTAAGACTTTGCACAAATTGCACCCAAGAATCGTCTTAGGTTCCTAATTGGGAAATTTCTAAGATCATCCTTCTTCGGAATCTCTCACTGGCTACTGGCTGTGTAAAAAGCCTGCTTGAGGATCGCAAAGTGGTGGAAATCTTTCAAGATCGGTATGGTATCGCACAAGGCTTCCGTGAAAAAAAACCAGATGTCTGCGTTGCTGTTGTTCAATTGCCCGAATCGCTTGTCGTGCTTGCGCCAGAGCCTGTTTGATTGCATGATTGGCTTTTAAGAAATAACCTGGTGTGTCCTCCTGTATCTGAAATAGATCTGATTCCAGATCCTGCAAGCGTGCCAATAGACTGTTGATCTTGAACAATGGATCGATGAGACTATCGAAGGTGGTACCCATCGCATCCCATGCCATTGCCATTTATTTTGGAGGCAATCTTAGTTTAGGTCTTTTCATGTGGTCTCTCTAATCACATGTTTTTTCAATGTAATGAAGCTACGAAATGGGTGTTTGTTTAATGCCCTTCTTGAAATATCTTCGTGGCATGTAATGATCTATTCTGTTTACAAAAAAGGAATGAACAGAATTGAGCCGAAAGCATAAACATGCATTCGTGCCACGTTCACGGTGAGGACAGAAAGTAATGGTCATTTGAAGCCAGCCTCGTTCATGTCATTGATTTAAAATACCATTGCCGGATAACATTGATTTTAAATCCCATCTCAGCATGACTGCCTTTTTTGCGCTGGTCTCCTCTGCTAGGTTGCAACCAAGATGTTTGCCGCACATCGGACAATGCATTCACCAAAATGTCGGGTAAAACGACTGATTTGCAGACATCACCACTGCTCACACGTCAGACATTTGTTGTATGTAGTCCATTTGATTGCAACGCACCCCAACCAGTCGACCACATCCGGTTCCATTTGTTGAGCCAATGCGTGGCCTCTACAAATGTTGAGTAAGGGCCGAAAAACATACCCAAGATATATTCGTAGGATTTTTTGGATTCTAAGCATCACTGCAGATCACAGTTTCATTGTCGTCGGTAAATGGAGCGATCTATTCGTCTTCTTGATTGTGTCTTCGTGCTTCTTCTCTTTTCCACTCATCATGGAGCGACGATGCAAATTCAGAAGCTTCCAAAGTCAAAAGGCGAAATGCACGCATACTCTGTTCCAAACCTAGAATATTTGGCAAATGAGTGAGCTGAGCGTTGGCCCACATGTATTTGTTGGCAATTTCCTCCCAGTCATTCGGATGTTGCTTTCCGATGCCATGTGTCACATCATTGGTAAGTCGCTGAACTAGCATAGCAATTTTGGAGTCTGTCTCTGCAAAAGTACCTTTCCTTTTGCTTTGCAATGATGTTTCTTTGCTTTTCAATTTGCGAGCATCCACGTTCCCATTCTTGTGCAGCAGAGATTGATAAAAATAAGCTGCGTCCGTCCAAGCTAAATCGAAATGATAAAACATGTCCAAATCGTTGTCTGCCAACTTCCTCGTTACATGCCTCCCTTTCTCCAGGAACTGTTTGACATTGATTGTCCGAGTGTTCCACTCATCATTTGCAGTTTCTGTGAAAGCTGAGTGGATGCATACCGTCAAATGACCTGTCAACAAATAAACCAGGCATGCCGTATCTAGTTCCTCGGGTTTTGGCATGTTGCGACCAAGTAACGAAAGTTTTTGAGCTCGAACTGCAAATAGAATCGAGGACAAGATGATGTGTTGTTTGGATCTGATGGAAAAGACCATGAGGACTGTTTGCCTTTCGCCCCTAAGTTTACCGTTTCCGCGTTTGTTTGAAGCCCAAAAAAAAGTACAATTCCCTTGCACTTCGAACAGAAATCAACAAGACCTTATGAGAAGATGCAATGAAAGCTAGAAATTCTCTGCAAGAAGCTTATTCTGAGTCAGTAGCCACGATAAAGAAACGAACCATGTTTCAGCAGACACAGCAGAACAACTCTCTGATCGTTTCTTCCGTCTGTGTGCAAACGGAAACATTGTCTAATTAAGCTTCATGTAAATTCTACAATGAAGCACAAATGCTTTTCCCAGCATTCGTTAATTTCTCGTTGAAAACGAGACAAAATGATTGTGCAGGGCAGCTAAGAGGTAACATGATGAAACAAACAGCTTGTACATATGATTTTTATTTCTAATCGTATAGCAAATATATAATCCTGCCATAGTTCTGTTCATCTGAAGCCCGATCACTCGCTGTTGAAGAGCTATGCTTTGGAGCAAAACCAAATGGACATTGAATTAGATATCTCTCGCATTTCATGATTGCCACGGCCACCATGACTTCTGTGACGTGCCCCATCGTACATCTCTTCTTCGATGTTCATAGTGGTGCCATGGAGGGTTCGGCTTGCTCTTTCTCCTGTATCTGACCAAAGGTCGGAAACTGTTTTCGGCAATGCACTTCACTCGATTGTTTTTTTTGGGTTCAGGTCGATCATGTTCATGATTCTCAGTCGAAACCGTGTCTTTTCCAAGGTGAGCGGTCTCATCTTTTCCGGGTCTTTTTGTCTCTTTCTCGATCATCATTTGTGCTTCAAGCTCTTTGTTTGCGGAAGGCGAGGTTTTCCCTGAACTCAGCAAAGGCAATCCTTTTGAGCTGGCAGGAGATTCTCTGCATGCATCTTCCGAAGAAAGATTCATCCACATGGCAGCTTCCTCATCTCCGTCGAACATTTCGTATTCTTCTAACAAAGGTTCATATTCTTCATCAAATGGGCTGTTGAATGAAGGTTCCTTTGCACTCCTCGATTGTTTTGTTTTGAGTGTTTCCAGATCATCCATTCCCGGAATCTCCGACTCACACTCTACTCCAACTTCTTTTTCTTTGTCGTTTTGAGTCTCGCTTTGGGTTGCAGTAGTCTTTCCATCTGATTCCGTGAACAGTTTCTCGGTCACTGTCACCCAAATCATTCTTCTGTTGATGGCCCTTGAATGATCTTTGTTATCAGTTTCCCTTGGAAAAAAGGTATGCCGTTCATGATTTGTTAGAAATATCCTGACAGTATCAGCAGGAATAAAACCATCCTCATGGCGGCATTTCACGGCTCTTTCCGATTTGACGTCGAGAAACGACTTCACCTCGTCAACTGAGAAGTTCTGCAGTGTGACGTCGTCGAAAAGAATCGACTCTTTTCCTGTGAAAAGCAATGATTTCACAGTATCCAAACTGTCCACAAAAAAGTACTTTCCCATCGAGGCAAATATTGCCTTTGCCATTTCTGTCTTTCCAAGTCCTCCCTCGCCTTGGATGATAAGAGCCATTTCACTTTTGAAGTGTTTCATCCAAACACGAATTTCGTCTGGGATGTTGAAAGCAGATAATGGATATTTGCTGGTAGCTTTGGAGGTGCCTAAAAAGACATCGTCCCGGAATT